ATCCCACAGGTAAATGATATCATTTAGTATGTGTACTCCCTCAGACTTATTTTGCTTTAATACTACACTTTCTAGTTCCATTCATGTTTTTGTGAACTTCATGTATGCTTTAATAATTTTGTACAGCTTCTTTTTTTAATTTTTGGTTTTTGGACTACACTTGTGAGTGCTCAGGGCATGCTCCTCACTCTGAGTTAAGGGATCATTCCTGGTGGACTCAGGGAACCATAAGGGGTGTCAGGAATAGAACACAGGTGGGTGGCTTGAAAACAAGTGCACCGGTCTCTCTATACTGCACGTTCTTTACTTATCTGTTGAACTTTTTGGTTTTTCCATATCCAGGTTATTGTACTAAGTAAGCACTGCAATGAAGACAAGAATATATATGTATATGAATATTTATGTATATGTATATATATGTATACATACATGTATATTTCTGATAGAAATGGAAATACTGGGTCATGTGGGACACTATTCTCTACTCTTACATTTATTTATTTATTTATTTATTGAATCGCTGTGGAAAAAGTTACAAAGCTTTCAGGTTTAGGTCTCAGTCATGCAAATATCAATCACATCTCCCTTTACCAATACTTATTTTTCACCACGAAGAACCCCAATAAACCCCCACCCCCTACCCCACCCCAATGCCTGTGAGGCAGATGAATTCTAGTTAACACTCTATCTACTTTTGACTAGCTTCATTGTTTCGATAAAAGTTGCACTATTATTTTTTAGAGTTTACCCCCTCCCCAAATCAGCCATGCTGAAAAAGCATTGTGAAATGATTTGCTTTCTACAGCTGGGTTCAAGAATTAAATGATGGCTGCAATAGCGGCCGCGTGATTTTGGATTTCTGCTATTTTACTTATTAACCCTGGAAGTATTTCTACTGAGAGTCAGATAATTAAGAGATTGGTTTCTGTGCTCTGGAGTCATGGCCATGCCGGAGAGTCGCTCGTGGGGGCAACTGGTGACCTCGGTAGGGTGTGAAGGACAGGCCGAAACGCCCCCTGTCCCATGAGGTTTCAGTCGCGCCCCCACCCCTGGCTCATACCTGCTGTCCACAAGGCTTCCATGCGGCCGCCATCTTTCTTTCCAGAGAGAAGAGGGTGGGAGCTACTCTTACATTTTAAAGAATCCTCTTTACTATCTAAAGAGGCTGAACAAGATGACATTCCCACCAAAGGTCAATCAGGATTTCCTTTCTATCATATCTACCTGACCAGTGCTGGCTATTTCCAGATTTATTTATTTTATATGCCATTCTCACTGGTGTGAGAGGCTATCTCATGTCGTTTTAATTTACATATTCTGAGTAATAGGTGATAATGAACAATGTTTCATATATCTATAGTCATTTAAATGTATTCTTTGGAAAGGGTCTGATCTTTTTCTCTCCTCATTTATTTTTTTGATGTGGACAGGGGATTGATTTTGTTTTTGAGCTTTGAAAGTGCTTTATTTATCTTGGATATTAATCCTCATCAGATATATTTTGTATAAATATGTTCTTCCATTCGGAGAGCCCGGCAAGCTACCGAGAGTATTCGATATGCCAGACACAGTAACAACAAAGTCTCCAATGGAGACGTTACTGGGCCCGCTCGAGCAAATCGACGATCAACGGGAGGGCCTTTACTTTATGTTCTTCCATTATGTAGGACATCCATTTATTTATTTATTTATTTATTTATTTATTTTGCTTTTTGGGTCACACCTGGCGATGCACAGGATTTACTCCTGGTTCATGCACTCAGGAATTACTCCTGGCAGTGCTCAGGGGACCACATGGGATGCTGGGAATTGAACCTAGGTCTGCTGTGTGCAAGGCAAACGCCCTACCCGCTGTGCTATTGCTCCAGCCCCCGGACATCTTTTTATTTTAACTGGAGTTTCTTTTGCCATGAAAAAAATTTTTAATTTTATATAGTGCCATTTGTTTAAACTTGTTTTGTTATCTTTGACTATTGAATCAAATTACTGAACAGACCTCTAAGGTCCATATCATGGAGAGATTTGGCATATGTTCTTCTCAACATATCTTAAATGGATTCTAGCCCTATGTTCAGGTATTTAATCACTTACATTTGACAGTATGAATTGCATGAAATATGGTTCCAGATGCAAGACTTTACATGTGAGTATCAAGTTATCAGCAACACTTGTTGAAGAGACTTTCTTTGTTACATTTCATCTACCTGCATTCTCTTTCTTAGATTAACTATCCTTAAATCTGAGGGTTTACTTATTTTTCCAGATTTGGACATGTTTTAATCTGTATTCTCGCATGAATATTCTTGATGGGCTAGTAAAGGTCACTTTTAATTAGAAAAGCAATAAATGGGGGCAGAGAGATAGTATAGTGAATAGGCCATTGCCTAATATGCCGTTAACCCAGGTTTGATTCCTGGCACTGCATTTAGGATGCTCTCAAGCGCTGCCAGGAATGATTTCTGAGTGCAGAGTATGGACTAACCCCTGAGCACCACCAGGTGTGCCCAAAAACTAAAAGGGAAGAAAAGCAACAAACATAATTTTTTAAATTACTAAAGAAATTTCAGGAAAGAGGACCACTTTTGTGTGTGGACGCTTCCAATTTGTAGGAATGAAGGTGAGTGATTATTACAGTCTAATCATCTTGTATTTATATTTGTGTTGATTACAGGGTAAAGGGTGAGGAGATAGATGCTAATATCCTAGATAAATATTTTGTTAATTTTCTACTCCAAGAAAATTAATTTTACTGAGATTTCCAAATCGATTATTTCTGAAAAATTTGGGACAATTGAAGGAAATTCATTTTCACATTAATTAATAGTAATCAAACTGAGTTCAAGAAACAAAGAAATCAGATTTCATACCATCAACATTCCACTATACAACCATTAATACTTGTACATAAGCATGCCTGCTCTTAGTACCTTTGCTGTGTACCTTTTCCTTTTCACCTATGATACCCATTGATTTGCTACAGAAGTTCTATTTTTCTCCTTAAAATTGTTTTTATTGAGAATAAGTAAAAAATTACATTTCAGAAACTAAAAAAAAAAAACTATTTTAAGACATTTTATTTTCTTGGTGAATGACTTTAATAAAAACAACCGGCTGTTTTATAGGTACCATTATGATCTCTCTGGTGGGGAAAAAAGCACAAATAATTTAAATAGAGCAAAGATTAGTCACAAATTGATGTTGGATATTAGGTTTAAAGGACAGGATATAACAATAATAGAATATGTTTATTAATATATAAACAATGATAGAATATGTTCATGATAAAAAATATTATTTATACTAGTGAGAATAGTAACCATGTAAGATTAAGTGCAAAAAGTTAAAATTTCTCTGGCATATTTAAGAAGAAAGCATAGTAACTAAAAGTTATGTTCTTATTAATGAAATACTAAAAGTTTTATTTTACTTGTATTATCTTGTAGCATAGCTAACTGTTACTGTTTTAAAATGGGGGTGCATTAAATAAAGAAATTTAAGCAATGATCAAAAGGCCAGTGCAATAAATCAAGGAGAACACAATACAGGGCATACTCTTCTGATTAATCATAATGTGATAAGCATCACTTGTTCTCTATTTTAATAGAGAATAAATGTCATTTTATCTATTTTTTATTTTAGTGAAAGGTGAAAATTGAATGCATGTGTACGTGTATAATTTTTTTCCAGTTGGGATAGAGAATAAGGTCTGGGTTATAATAAATATTTTGACCGAGAAGGAAGACTAGGGAAAGAGTTAGGATAGTTTTTAATGAAGCATAGAAGGGGATAAATGGCATTTTAAATGAAAATCTATTCAGTTATTGATTCTAGGTGTGTGAGCAAAATTAGTAATATAACCTTGGAACTTTGTGTGATTAAGCTAAAGCTAAAGGTAAAGGCCCTCCCGTTGATCGTCGATTTGCTCGAGCGGGCCCAGTAACGTCTCCATTGGAGACTTTGTTGTTACTGTGTCTGGCATATCGAATACTCTCGGTAGCTTGCCGGGTTCTCCGAGAGGGGCGGCCATGTTGGCCGCGTGTAAGGCGAACGCCCTACCCGCTGTGCTATCGCTCCAGTTAACCAAAATAAAATAGGTTTATTTAATTGTATGTGTCACAATGGTAAAGTGAGCATTGAGGGCTCAAAGTAAGTGTAAGTTTTCTTGGACTTTATATTTCTTTTTCAGGACATCATTATTGATTAGTTTTAAATTTTTAAATATAGGATAAATATTTAACATTCAAACTATAATAAAGGCAATAAAGTAGATCATTTAAATACATTAAGTACATTGCTATAAAATAGAAATAATATAGAAAATTAATCAATTGAAAAAATCTTGGAAATGAAGTCAACAGACACATAAATAGCCCCACGATAGTAGCACCCATTTACTAACATCTAATTCCATACTCAGTGAAGAAAAACTGAAAGCCTGCCCTTTGAGAGAGGACATGAGCGAGACAAGGGTATCTATTTACTGCTATTTAATATAGTAATGGAAGATCTGGTCATAAAAATTAGACAAGTAAACAAAATATCTAATGGCAAACGGGAGAGGGAGAATTTAACTAGCAGAGAAAAATACCAAAAGGACCAAATTTCAAATATTGTCCAAGAACACCAAATACCAAGGAACTAAATATGAAAAAACATTTTATGTTAATGGATGGGAAGGATTAACATGTCAAAATGTCCATCCACCCTAAAACATTATAAAGAGTTAATGAAATCCCCATTCAAATTATAATATTAAAATGGTAATATTCTCAGGGCATTTGCCTTGCACGCGGCCAACATGGCCGACCTGAGTTCGATTCCTCCGCCCCTCTCAGAGAGCCCGGCAAGCTACCGAGAGTATCTTGGCCGCACGGCAGAGCCTGGCAAGCTCCCCATGACGTATTCGATATGCCAAACACAGTAAAAACAAAGTCTCCAATGGAGACGTTACTGGGCCCGCTCGAGCAAATCGATGATCAATGGGAGGGCCTTTACCTTTTGTGCTCGCTTCGGCAGCACATATACTAAAACTGGAACGATACAGAGAAGATTAGCATGGCCCCTGCGCAAGGATGACACGCAAATTCTCACTAAAGTTAGTAACGAATAATAAAACTCCCCATAGAATGATGTTCAGGAGTTACTCCTAGAGGTGTTTGGGGGAATCATAAATTTGTAATTGAACAGTGGTTCAAAGCTTTGCATAGTACTGACCTTGGAGTATCAGCAGGTATAGTTATGGAGGTCTCAACAGCTCCAAGGATAGCTATTGAAGCCCTGAAAACATCTGACTGTGGTCATCGTGGTCCATAGCATCACAGAGTCTGGGTGATGGTCCTCATTGGTCCCTGGCATCACAATGTCTATGTGACGGTCCTCAAGGTCATTAATATCACAAGGTCTCTGCAGTGCCATATAGCATGCCCTATTTTTTAGCCTTCTTGTCTGCATGGCCAAATTTTGATAGATGTGGCCCTGGATTTCAATAAGCAGAAATGGGAAAGTCCTGAATTCCTCCACTAAGAAAAAAATTGGATTAAAAATTTTAATTATATGTATGGAATCATTTTGCAAAAGGAATGGTATTTTAAGCAATCAATAGAGTGTATCTTAAGGAAATATGACTGAAGAAATTAATGTGACTCTTACCTAAAGATGAAGGAAACAATTTATAAGAACACAAAAGCCATAAAAATAACAATCACAAGCAATGCCAATAGAAGACAAGAGGATTTGAAGGCAGAAATGAGGAAAATGCAATCAGAAATGTCAGACCTGAAAAATCTCGTAGGCGAATTGAAAAGCTCAGTGGAAGGCCTCAGCAGCAGAGTAAGAGCGGCTGAGAACAGAATCAATGAGCTCGAAGATGAAGTTCAGAGACTCTCCAGAAAAGAGCAGAAAATGGAAAAGAGACTCACAATTCGGGAACAGATGGCAAGAGAAGATTGTGATGAAGCCAAGAGGGGTAACATAAGAATTATTGGAGTCCCAGAGGTACAGGAAGAAAACCTCGATGAAGAAACTGTCAAAGAAATCATTGCTACAACATTTCCAGAGCTGAAGAAAACTTGTGACCACATTCAGGAGGCCCGAAGGGTACCAGCTAGAAGAAATCCGAATAAAAATACCCCAAGACACATTCTGATCAAAATGACCAAAACCTTAGACAGAGACAAAATTCTGAAAGCAGCAAGATCGAAGAAAGAAATCTCTTACAAAGGAGCATCCTTAAAATTCACAGCTGATTTTTCTGATGAAATCCTCATGGCCCGAAAACAGTGGTGGGACATAGTAAAAAAACTCAATGAAATAAATGCCTCCCCAAAAATACTTTTCCCAGCAAGACTCTCATTCATAATAGAAGGAACAACACACAGTTTCACAGACAAACAACAGCTCAGGAACTTCATAGACTCAAAACCATGGTTACAAGAACAACTAAATGGGCTACTTTAAGGCAAGAAAGGCCCCTCAAATACACCAAATTTTAACAGAACAATGGGACAAAATCCCATAACAATAATCTCTCTCAATGTCAATGGGCTAAACGCACCAATTAAAAGACATAGAGTGGCAGGATGGATTAGAAAATTGAACCCAACATTCTGCTGCCTGCAAGAAACGCATCTCAATAGTCAAAGCAAACACAGACTCAGAGTCAAAGGCTGGAAAACAATCCTACAGGCAAACAGCTCCCATAAAAAAGCTGGGGTAGCCATCCTTATATCAGACCACATCGATTTCAGAGTGAGGAAGGTCATAAGAGACAGTGAAGGCCATTTCTTATTGATCAAAGGATCTGTACAACAGGAAGAACTTACAATAATAAATGTATATGCACCTAATGAGAGACCAGCAAAGTACTTAAAACAACTACTCATAGATTTGGAAAAAGACATCAATAGCAACACAATACTAGTGGGAGACTTCAACACTGCTTTGTCACCTCTTGATAGATCAACCAGACTCAAGCTTAGCAAGGACATACTTCATTTGAGGGAAACAATGGAAGAAAGGGACTTAGTAGATATATACAGGACACTTCATCCACAAAAAGCTGAATACACATTCTTCTCAAGCGTACATGGAACATTCTCCAAGATAGACCACATGCTGAGCCACAAAACATGCCTCCATAAAATTAAGAAGGTAGAGATTGTATCAACAATCTTCTCAGACCATAATGCGCTGAAATTAGAAGTAAATCACACACAAAAACAGAAAACTAAATCAAACACCTGGAAATTAAACAGTGCACTATTGAACAACGAGTGGATTAGACAGGAAATCAAAGAGGAAATCAAAAGATTCCTAGAAACGAATGAAAATGAGAACATGAATTACCAAAACTTATGGGACACAGCAAAGGCTGTGTTAAGAGGAAAGTTTATAGCTCTACAAGCATTCCTCAGGAAGGAGGAGCGAGCACACATAAGTAACCTAACCTCAGAGCTTAAGAGCTTGGAGAAGGACCAAAAAAAGGAGCACAACCGGAACAGGAGAAAGGAAATAATAAAACTCAGAGCAGAGATTAACGAGATGGAAACCCAAAAAACAATCCGAAAGATCAATGAAACCAAAAGCTGGTTCTTTGAGAAAATTAACAAGATCGATAAGCCTTTAGCAAAACTCACAAAGAAAGGGAGAGAGAAAACCCTAATAAACCGAATCAGAAATGAAAAGGGGGTCATTACCACAGAAACCACAGAAATTCAGAGGACCTCAGGGAGTACTTTGAGAAGTTTTATGCCATGGAACATCAAAACCTCGAGGAAATGGATAAATTCCTAGACTCCTACAGACTCCCAAGGCTGAACCAAGAAGACCTGGAATACCTGAACAGATCTATCACCATCAAGGAAATTGAAATGGTAATAAAAAGTCTCCCCAAGCACAAAAGTCCTGGCCCGGATGGATTCACAAGTGAATTCTTCCAAATCTTTAAAGAGGACTTACTCCAGATGCTCTTTAAGCTTTTCCACGAAATTGAAATATCAAAAACACTTCCAAACAGTTTCTACGAAGCAAATATCACACTGATACCAAAAGCAGACAGAGATACCACAAAGAAAGAGAATTACAGGCCGATATCCTTGATGAACACAGATGCAAAGATCCTCAACAAACTACTAGCAAACAGAATCCAACTACTCATCAAAAAGATCATACACCATGACCAAGTAGGATTCATCCCAGGGATGCAAGGATGGTTTAACATTCGGAAATCAATCAACATAATCCACCATGTCAACAAAAGAAAAGATAAAAAGCATATGATCATATCAATAGATGCAGAGAAAGCATTTGATAAGATCCAGCACCCCTTTATGATGAAAACCCTAGCCAAAATGGGTATAGAGGGGACCTTCCTCAACATAATTAAAGCCATCTACCACAAGCCTACAGCAAGCATCATCCTCAATGGGGAAAAACTGAGAGCCTTCCCTCTAAGATCAGGGATGAGACAGGGATGCCCACTCTCTCCACTGCTGTTCAATATAGTACTGAAAGTACTTGCAATAGCGATTAGGAAGGAAAAAGATATTAAGGGCATTCAGGTAGGAAAAGAAGAAATCAAGCTCTCACTATTCGCAGATGATATGATACTCTACATAGAGAACCCAATAACTTCCACCAAAAAACTCCTAGAAACAATAGACTCATACAGTAAAGTTGCAGGTTATAAAATCAATACCCGAAAGTCCATGGCTTTCCTATACGCAAACAGTGAGAGGGAAGAAAGCAACATTAAAAAAACAATCCCGTTCACAATTGTGCCCCAGAAAATCAAGTACCTAGGAATCAGCTTAACTAAGGAAGTAAAGGACCTGTACAAAGAAAACTACAAAACGCTACTTCAGGAAATAAAAGAGGACATGAGGAAATGGAAAGATATCCCCTGCTCATGGGTCGGGAGACTTAACATTGTCAAAATGGCAATAGTACCGAAAGCATTGTATAAATTCATTGCAATCCCTGTAAGGATACCCATGACATTCTTCAAAGAAATGGAGCAAACACTCCTGAAATTTATATGGAACAATAAGCCCCCACGAATAGCTAAAGCAATTCTTGGGAAAAAGAAAATGGGAGGAATCAATCTCCCGAACTTCAAACTGTACTACAAAGCAGTAATAATTAAAACAGCATGGTACTGGAACAAAGGCAGAACTGCAGACCAATGGAACAGGGTTGAATACACTGACATCTCCCCTCAATCATATGATCATCTAATCTTTGATAAAGGTGCAAGTAATGTAAAGTGGAGTAAGGAAAGCCTCTTTAATAAATTGTGTTGGCATCACTGGACGGCTACATGCAAGAAAATAGGCTCAGAACTCTGCCTAACACCATGTACAAAAGTAAGATCAAAATGGATTAAAGACCTCAACATCAGACCAGAAACCATAAGGTACACTGAAGATAAAGTTGGCAAAACCCTCCATGACATTGAAGCTAATGGTATCTTCAAAGATGCCATGCCACTGGCCAAGCAAGTGAAAACAGAGATAGATAAATGGGACTATCTTAAACTAAGAAGCTTCTGCACCTCCAAAGAAACAGTGATCAAAATACAAAGACAGTCTACAGAATGGGAAAGGATATTCACCAAATACACATCTGACAAGGGGTTGATATCCAGGATATACAAAATACTGGTTAAACTCCACAAGAAGAAAACATCCAACCCCATCCAAAAATGGGGCAATGAAATGAACAGAAACTTTCTCAAAGAAGAAATCCGAATGGCAAAAAAGCACATGAGAAAATGCTCTACATCATTAATCATCAGGGAGATGCAGATCAACACCACAATGAGATACCATCTCACACCTCAGAGACTGGCCCACATTCAAAAGAACAAAAGCAACCGATGCTGGCGTGGATGTGGCGAGAAAGGGACACTCCTTCATTGTTGGTGGGAATGTCCACTGGTTCAGCCCTTCTGGAAAACAGTATGGACGATTCTCAAAAAATTGGCAATTGAGCTCCCATTTGACCCAGCAATACCACTCCTGGGAATATATCCCAGAGAGGCAAAAATGTATAGTCAAAGTGACATCTGCACTTGTTTGTTCATTGCAGTACTCTTTACAATAGCCAGAAA